GGGACCAGAGAACACGTCTGAATTATACGGTTTTTCGAATTAACGGGAGGGGGGGGGGGGTCTAATGAACAAATTTTTATTGTAATTTAATACCGTAATCGAAGAAAAATTTTGGGGCTGGGGAGGGGGGCTCGTTATTTTGTTTGACAAATCGTTAAACCGCTGGCTTTTCTTACTGGCAAGGTATACTTGTAACGCGTGTAAAACGAAGACAATTTGTAAAGCGGGCTTCTTCTCGCAAAGACTCTTGTTGTGGAGAAGCCACATTCAGAGGGCTCCTTATAGCTGGTTATGCGCACGCGGAGGCAACGTTATGAACCCTAACGTATGAACGATGTCGCCGGCTTAAAAATAGCAATAACCAAACACATTGCCAGCGCGTCATGCGCTTGCAGAGTGCAGACAGCTGTCAAGATTGCAAGGTGTACTGCTGCGCACTTTGGATGCGATGAATAGCCCCCCCCCCCCCTTTTTTTTTTACTTCTTATTTTGTTTTGCCGTTTCATTATGAATGCTTATTTGAGCTCTCATATGCGAAAATCCCCATTAAAAATCTACAAAAATTTTTGTACTAACCTTACGAACAAAAAAAGTTTGCCATAGATCTAGGAATCAATAGTATTAGGTTGCACGCGGCGTTTTTAGCGATTTCACAGTAGCTTTTGCGCGCTCGCAAGATTAAGCGTACCTAGAGTTACTGTATATGTTACCTTACTGTATGTGCTACCTTTGGTATATGCTACAGTAGCATATACAGTAACTCTAAGCGTACCAGGTGGACCACAGCGAACGGAATAATGTATTCGAGGAACGGCGCATGCGCAGCCTTCGCCACAAAATAGATCAGTTTTCCCACCACAGAGCAAGGAAACAGAGGGTGGGAGCGTGAAGTGACAACCTTGAAGCCTAGCCAGTAAACAAATTAAGCAACAGATAGGCCCTCATCGCGTCATAGGCAAACGCTACTATTGGTCGGCTCACTTTGGTTGCATCTGCTGCGGACGCTGCGGTGAGGAGGTACTTGTAGGTACGCTGCGGTGAGGAGGTACGCTGCGGTGAGGAGGACGCTGCGGTGAGAGGTACTTGGACGCTGCGGTCGAGGGTGACTTGTCGACACGGGGCGTAGGCAGATATTTTTCTTTCGGGGAAGGCACCCCCTTTAGTTCAAAGGGAGGGGGGGAGGGGCACATTTTTGAAATGGCCACTTTTTTCTATATGTGCCATGGCGAAAAAAAAAATTTGGGCACAAGGGGGGGGGGGGAGGGTACAGGCTTGGTGTGCCACCCCCTGACTACGTCATTGCTTGCCAAGACTTGCGAATTACGTGGTACTTCGTCCTAGCATGAGGATGTTAGCGCTAAGAAAATTAACAACAAACACAGGAGAGACGGGAGAGACACTCTGTTTTAGTTTGCTTCCTGGCGCACGCCGTTTTTTCCCCCTCCTACTTGTGTTCGACTACGCGGAGCTCGTAGTGGACTGCCTACAACACGTGCGCCGATGATACCCCCGCAAGTGCTGTTGGCCAAGCGCATGCGCATGAGCGGCATCACCAAGGTGAGCGCCGACATGGACGATTATAACGGCGACTCTGGCCGGCCAGCTGCACAATGCGTTGGACAAGCTTGACCAACCAATTAGGAGACTGCCGGCCAACACCGGCCTGTCTTCGCGGCCAACGACCACCTTTCGGGCCGGCTTCCAACAAGGAGACCACCGCAAAACAGCCGACAACCGCTAGGCCGGAAGGACGTCGTCAAGCCTAACGGCCTTGTTCGCCTTTGGGCGGCAAAACGCAGGGCTAATGCGCACAAATTAAAGCGAATCTACAACACATGATTAGAACCGCGTATTGCAGAAAGGTGATGGGGCCAAGAAATCGTATGAGGAGACTAGTACTTTTCTTGCGACAGCCGCACAGTGCTCTGTTTTATGACATAGAATGGCGCACAATGACCGAGTAGTAGAGCAAAAAGGTGATGACTTGCCGACCGGGGAGGCGAGACACTGCCTGCCACTGGCCTATTATTATTATTACTATTGTGAGCACAGTCACCGACTCTTCTTTATCAATTGTACGTGTCATCATAATTTGTATAATTTCCTCATCTGTAGATATCATCATCAGGGTGTGCCAGCTCAAGCTCGCCTCGAATAAAGCTCTTCCTCCTCAGGAAGAGCTTACCACCTGTTCAACTCACTGACGAGGTCGTAGGTGTGTAGCCATTCTTCAACAACGTCATCCCTTTTGAGACCCGAGAATACTGGCGGATCACGCTGGTGGCTGTGGATGACCAGGGTCGACGGCGGAGGCTGCACTGGGCTGGTGGTGTTGGATGGACCAGGATTGTCTCGCACTGCCATGGCAGGTGGTAGTAGACGACCCGAGCCGAGCTCCAGTGGTAACGTGCGAGAGGACTTGGGGATCGAGAAGCACCGTCCACCACTTACGAGGAAGAGCTTTATTCGAGGCGAGCTCGAGCTGGCACACCCTGATGATGATATCTACAGATGAGGAAATTATACAAATTATGATGACACGTCCAATTGATAAAGAAGAGTCCGTGACTGCGCTCACACTATTATTTAGTAGTGGTTGTGGTAGTAGCATTAAAGACGTTTTCGTGGCCGTTTTACAACCTCTTTCTGAAGGTCTGATGCCCACAATGTTAGCAATAATTTCTGACAAAATTCAATGATATTGGCTCGCATACTGTTAAAATCGACTGTTGGCTGCTATATTGGCTATGCACTTAATAACGGCCATATAATCTACATTGCAGCCATTCAACTGTCGACCAAATTTTCCTACTCTGCGCGTGTGCACTATATCTATTCCTTGGTTGCATCTTGGCTCTATATAGCCCCTTCACCCACCAAAAGGTTGTGGCAGTATATGCACCAACATGACGTTGACTAGACACGAGGGAAGTTTTAGCGACTCCAACTGCAGCTAACAGGCCATGGAACCGACTGCATTACTATTAACAATGCATAGTATGAAGACTTTTTTTATGTCTACATTCACTTGAAACTCTGTCCTTGAAACAAATTTGGTGTAACAAAATCCGCTACATTGTTGTCACCATCTCCAGCAAAGAACTTTTGCCACAAATTTCATGCAAAATGCAGTGATGAAACTGTTTTGCAGCGAGAGCTGCCATGAGGTCACAAGAACCGTGTGTGCAGCTGTCTGTCGCCGATGGTGTCTGTAACTGCTTTGGCGCAAGATAAGCAAAAATGAAATAAGAAAAGTAAATGACCAGGATAGAGTGGGATTCGAACCCGGGACCTCTGCATGGCAAGTGAGTATTTTACACCAGTCACACTGGTGCCTATAACACACTTGTAAATACACCTTATGTAGGGTTCATGTTGGGGGAAGGACACGACCAGCAGTACAAGATGACACTTGTAATGCAGCATGTTAGAATAACGGGTGTCACACAATGCAAATTGCATAACGAGTGGTCCGTTGAATGCTTCCAACCCTTAGCAAAAGACTCGGCCACAACTCTTCATTACCCATAGTGTCAATGAAGTGCACATAACTTATTGGTATGTAGCATGTACCACACTTTGAGAAAGAATGACGATGAATAATGAAATATTGAACGCTTCCCTACAGCACAAAAAAAAAGAACGCCAGTCATGCAGGTAATGCACAGCACAGTCACAGGGATAGCTGAAAGAGCAGCCTTTCAGAGCCTTTACTTAACACTCTTTGGGTACAAGCACACTTGTAGGGTACCCACTACAACATGAATCATGACATTTTTTGTGTGGTAAGGAGGCATTCACTATGGCATCCTTCCAAGAAGCATGGTACCAGCTACATACTTGCAAGGAATTTCGTGCAACTTCTATTATGCTGTGGCTAACGAAGATGAATCATGCCTGAACCTTTTGTAATATATTGGAGCATTCGATGACCCATTCGTGATGCAATTCGCATTGTGTAATGCCTGGTTGTTGCTTTACTGTTCTAAAATGCTTTATTACTCGAATAAATGCGATTTCTTTCCCGATATCAAGCCTGCTCAAGGTTATTTTGCAACAAAATTTCAAGAACCGGTGTGGCTCTGTGGTGGAATAACAGGGCTGGCACACGGGAGACCCAGGTTTGAACCCCATTGTGCCCTTGGTGTTTTCCATTTACTTAGCTTTTTTTTTTAATTTCGCGCAACAGTGGTTACGGACACCACGGGCTGCAGTGGCGGACAGCTACGGCGCACGCGACTCTTGTTGTGGTCTTATACAACACATTTTGCGGTAAAATTGTGGTTAATGACGAAGTGGGTACCTCGCAAGTTTACTTGTACTAGTTGCCAGGGGATCCCATTAACACATGTATTATGGTTTGGTGGGAGAGTAAAATAATGAACGGGTGTCATGCAATGCAAATTATGTAAATAGTTGGTCATTTGAAGCTTACAACCAATCGCAAAGGGCTCGGCTATGATTCTTCGTTGTGTAGTTGGCTTCCACAGTATAACTAATAATGGCACTGTGCTGCTTCCTTACTTCACAAACAGACAAAAAAAAAAATCGCACCACATTCATAGAGTGAATGATGATGAGTGGGGTGAAGCGTCTGTTTGTTTGTCCGTGCATTCGTCCGTGCATTGGTCTGCCTGCCTGTTTGTCTGATACTGCCAGTTATGTCTGACGCAGGGCAAGGTGTGACTAAGAGGAGCTTCGCCCCTAAAATTACTGATTTATGGCATAGTGGGTGCCTTGCAAGTGTAAACATAGTATTTGCTCCAGAGAGTTTACAAAAGCTTTTACTAAGGCCACTCTACCAGCTTTCACTGCAAGTGCGCTATACATTCCACGCAGGCCTAGCATTTTTTTCGCTAGTGGAATGCTCTGAGAGGGCATATGGCCAATTTTCCTAACAAAATATTGTATACTTGGTATTGGCGTTGACAAGAGAAAGCTTGAATTTTGCCGCTCACAATGTTGATGGTGCTGTTCGTGTAAATCAATAAGCTGTGGGAGAAACGGGTAAAAAATACTTTATTTGCGGCGCATGACAAGTGGTGCAACAAGCAACAATAGGCTGTGGGAGATTCCCGTTGGAGACGAGCCATCCTCCACACCGCCTACAACATTTGACAGGTGTAGATTCATAAAGGTCCCTCTTAGGAACAGCCATCATTCTGTACTCGCGCAAAAGCTCTATCAGCACAACATCAATTAACATAAGGTATTCTACATAAAGACAAAGGAATATCTGGAATGACAATAGCAGTAGACTAACAAAAAATTAATAGTGCATCTATCAAAAGAAACAACATTTGAGCCAAAATGATGCTTGCCGGAAGTTTTAGCTGGCATTTATGCTAGTTCATTGAGGTATCAAAACAGTCACGGAAAGCACGCCTAACAGCAAAAGATTAGGAAATGATGGTTTTACAACAAATGGGAATGGCTGCTCATTTAGTGCGTAAGCAAAAGATTAGGAAATGATGGTTTTACAACAAATGGGAATTTCTGCTCATTTAGTGCGTAATGCTATTACTGTAGGTCGTGACTGTATATGTTGCACACTAACTACAGACTGCAACATTTATATTTGGAGGTTAGGTTGCCAGAAAAACCGAGAATATAACTTCTTAGAAAATTTTGCATCCCACAGATCTTGAATATTGGGTGTACTTTTGTCTTAAAAAGTTTTGTGCTAAATGCCATAAATGTAATAAAAATCTATCGACCACATTTTTTACGATAGCTCTTATCCCCTTGATGATTAAGCTACCAAAGTTCTGATTCTTTGTCAGCTGAAGGCACTTCGATCACACGTGGGGAGTCCGTTAGCCTTGCCACTCGTTCCCCTTCGACAACATCGCCAATTATCCAAGCCGGGTAGCCCTCAAGCCGCTCTATTTCTTCACAGTACGCCTGAGCCTTCTCTTTTGGTAGGCACATCAGCAGTCCACCTGCGTATAAGGAAGTGAAAAGATTCAATGGCAATGTGACAGTTATCAAAGCCAAAGACCAGATCTTCTACCACATTACTAGGAAAAGAGAAAAGTGCCCATGGCATACACTTCACTAGTCAATGCATGTCGGTAGTGTTTGTAAAGCTTAGAACATAATCAGGACAGTGTTCTAGTACTGTATTAGTGCCCACAGGGCTATTTCTCGGGCTGACTCGTTGGTCAATTTTTACATGAAGGAATCTGCTTGGGCCTACATACTAGTTCCCGATTGGTAAAAATAAAGTACATTGTCATCCGAGAGGGCCAGAGACCTAACATGCCAAGCTTCAGGAAATTTCATTGAGCCAATAGTATCCCGTAACTACAAGCAAGCACTTTGAAACCTGCGACATCAAATGCAGAGATTTCGGTGCAAAACTTGAAAACGAAACTTCAAGCTTGGCTTTTCTCTTGTATTAATAACCTGCGATGCTGAAATTAGTAAAACTAGAGTACTCGCACATCCGTTCTCATACAAACCCACGAAGCCATTTTCGTCCAATAATGAATTTTGGCAGCTGCCCATTAGTGTAGCTTCTTCTCTTTGTATTCCATAATCAGCACATAACAGAGCGCTTTCATTTTACCTTGGCGTCTGGAATTTCCCAGCGCGCATTACAGCCTCATATTAATTTGCAAGATGCACAACCAATAGATACAAATCGATGCAGAACAAATCTCTGGTTGAATAAAAAAAGAAAATTTTGAAGGCCTGTTTTTTGTTTGACACAACTTTCATGAAAACCAGCAAGTAACGAAGCCAAGGAAGGTACAATGGCATTGGTTGTTTTAAGTGTATTGTAGTGATTATGATATAATTGTGAAGAAAGTAAAAAAATGTACTAAGACAACTTGTTACCGGCAGGGCCGACGTGCTCGATGCTCCTACCAAACAAACTGCCAAGACGGTCATTTCGCTATTTACTGTCCGAGTGCGTGCAAACCTGGGAGTATTGGTCAGCACGTATCACAATTTCTACTGGTATACACTTAAAACAGTACAATTAACACCCCTTATTAACACTCTTTGGTTTCGTCATCTGCTGGTTTCCATTAATGTTTCTGGTTGGTAGCTCACCCGACGTCTCGGCCGAGTATCCCTGCATGAGCTTGAACGAGGTGCCCGTGGCAGCCAACAGGGCGGGGACCTTGGCAATGATCGGCAATGTGTGGATCACAAAGCCCACTGAACGCTGCTGCACTTGAACCAAGTTCTGTGCATGGCCAAGCAACCCGAAGCCCGTGACGTCCGTAGCCCCGTGGCACCCATGTTTGTGCATCAGGTGTGCCCCTGAAGGAACAAAAAAGGCCTAAATTCAAGTGCAGTGTGCAGGACAGCACAGTTGCTACGCTGAGCTATGCAGTAACGACGTTCAAGTGAGTCAATGGCCATGTGCTTGTGGGTGCATGACGCAGAAAATTGTTCGGTGTGTATGGCATTGTTTGTTGGCAGAAAAGCCAGCAATTACTAGCTGACTTCGAAATTTATTTGTAATTTCTTTGCCATAACGCTGCATTAGTGTTTGTCTCACATGTTCCACATCAGACTAACAATCTGCGGCATTTTCTGAATAGGTTCAAGAAGTATTGCAGGGCCCCTTTAATGCAGTATAATTCACATATATCACAGGAAGTAATCATTATTCAGGTTATTTCGCTTGTTTCTATCAGTATTTGTACTCGTAAATAACCTTGCCATGCATGTTTAGGCGGGCAGTGTAGATACACCTCTGCATGATACGACTAGTGTCTGAGCAGTTATGTAATGCAAAAAACTATTCTAAGCGCCCCGCTGCGGTGGTCTAGTGGCTAAGGTACTCGGCTGCTGACCCACAGGTCATGGGATTGAATTCCGGCTGCAGCGGCTGCATTTTCAATGGAGACGAAAATACTGTAGGCCCGTGTGCTCATATTTGGGTGCACGTCAAAGAACCCTGAAATTTCCGGAGCCCTCCGCTACGTGGTTATGGTGGTTTGGGGACATTAAACCTAACATATCAACCGATCAATTAAATGAAACTATTCTAAGTGACATCAGGCTACCAGACAAAAGTAAGCAGAGCAACAGTGACGCCATAACAGCAGGAAATAAACTTTACTCACATCCCTTCCTGTGATGCAATACCACAAAAGTAACGCAATAGATAGATGAACTGTCATTTCAAACTGTCAGTCCACAGGCTAACTCTGGAACAGCCATAACACCAAATGCTGCTGAAGAAACCTCTTCGTCTCGGCAATTCTCCAGCTCTTTCTATAGCTCCGATACAACATTACAGGCAAGGTGATCAACATTGTTGATTAAACCTTTATAACTGTTTATCTTACAGTTTTGTAGGTCACACATACAGATTTATTTATGCTTCAAGAAGATTCCGAGGCATGGACTGCCAAACCAACAAGAAAGCTTAACTTCTTTTGCCTGTCACAAAACATTGCATAGCCACTGAGAAGCCACAAGGCTGAGAAGGGTGATCTTAAAAAATGCTGCCCTACTACTGAATTTCCGGTCTAGCAAGTCAACAAACATTGTAGTTGTAAACAGCTATTAGTCAATAAAAAACAATGCGAGTCAAATATGCAAGTGAACCACCTATCAGAGTCGGGAAAAACAAGCACCAACCAGTAAGGTTGAGGCGTGCCATGCAGTCCATAGCTCGGAAGTAGACTCTCTGAACGTCTTCCTCGCTGATGCCAGCCTTATCGAGTTGAGCACGGCGCTCCGGCTTCTCAAGCCACTGGTGAGCATTCACAGCCACCTGAGTGCCCAGAGGTTTCGTCAACACCAACACGTCTCCCGCTTGAGCATTGTCCGGCCTGTAGGATAAAGTTGTAATGGCATTCAATGACCAATGATTCAAATTTACCTAAAGTACAGCACTGTCCACTGCTAAAGGGAATGATCGAAGGAGCATTTATTGTATTGCTGGCCCCCTAATGGAAAGAGGATGTGGAAGCATCGTGGAAGGCACTAATCTGTCAAAAAAAAGTCAGAACTGCCAACCACGTGTAGTCTTATGCAAATCTAAGCCATTATGCTTTTGCAAGAGAGTGAAATCTGGACATGCTCAACATGCCAGTGTTACCTTTAACAGCGAACTGTTCAGTACGTTGGATAGCTACCTAAGATAAGACCTCAAATGAAAGACCATTAACGAAGGCCTGGGTAGCCGTTACATGGCATTTTCTATCACACTTGACATGCATTACAACGTACAAGCTGTGGAGTAAAAGAAGGCGGAGAGAGTATTGCCGTTCCGAGATGATGCGTACCCCTTCGCCTGCTTTATACCTTTCTCACATGGATGCTCGGAAGGCCTTCCGATCGGCAGTCTACTAATCCGGTCAAGCACGTGCCGCTAAGTGGGTTGTTTCTAAGGCCGCCAATCTATGGTGTCTTCGAAGCACCCCACAACTCCGTCAAAACCAATGAGCGATAGCAGTAGCAATAATTCAAATATGACCTCACATTCACAGTGTGTCGATACTCATGATTAGGAAAAAAAAAATTAAGCCAGTATGCTTTGAAAGCTGTGTATATGACATTATGTATTCTTTATTACAGCATTTTTGCCACTTCAAATGTGTGGACTGCACCTGTTCTAGACAACCGTGACAGGCTTGTCTTTGTCGTGTTGTCTTGCCATGTCTCACTCACGAGGTTCACAGTTCAGCTGACACTAAATATGTGACCGTAACTACATATAAACAATGTGTTGAAACTTTTAAACAAACATTTGAAGCATTATTATGCTTTTAGGATGATTCTTATCGTTTGATTTTGGGGACCTGTAAACGAAAATGAAGATGAGCAGCGCTGCACAGCTTTTGCAAGAAACGCCTGAACCAGTTAACGGTCATTGAAAACTGCTGTGCAGGAGCACGACAACTAGATGAAATCAATAGAGTTGTGGCGTTTTCAAGGCCATCAAATGGATATGGCCTTTCAAAAGTGCTTGTGAGACACTGGCATTAGAAAGTGTCCACATTTGTTGCTGGAAACCCTACCTCGATGAAAAGCAGCGTGGTACAGAAGCGGGGGAGGGGGGGGGGGGGAATTCACAGCAAGCCACATTTATTAGAAACTGAATTTTGTGTGCACGCTGGCAGCTGGCATGTGCGCACATTGCATTAAAAACTTGGTATCTTTAATGGGAAACAAACATATTCAAAAAGCGTCATCAAAGTCAGGGAAATTCACTCACGAAATGATATCAGCCTCTCTACAAACTGCCGATGCGACACCACCTATCATGGGCCACGGGTTCAGCACCGTCTGACCTCCCGTGACTTTGGTGCCAGCTTCTTCAGCCAAGTCCTGAGGTGTAATAATGAGAAAATAAAAAAAATTCTAGCTTTAACACCGCTCTGGTCACGTCATCTATTATGACGTGCAGTCTCCGATACTTAATAGTGTTTCTGCTAATAAAACACTGTTTAACAAAACCAACCATTAAAATACCCAAATGTCTGGGCAGAAGTTAGTCAAACAAAGTATAAGTTTACTAAAAAGATAAAGTTTGTAATTGAGCATAGCAATTGTAGAACGCTGACACAATTAATTTGACATCAACATTTATGTCCTTGAGAAAATATGCCTGCATTAAAATCCATATCCCTTTTATGAAAATACACTATATTACCTTGATTCCTTTGATGAGAAGGGGCACGACAATGTCCCTCTGTTTTTCAGTAAGCTTGGTGCTGACAGCCATCACCATCAGCATGTTATCACATCGAGTCACTCCGAGAGCATAAAGGTCAGACAGTACATTGGCGCACGCTATCTTGCCCTGTTAAATTGGGAAAAGAATGTTGCATGGTATTACAGACGAACTCACTTATTTCTCTAGCAACTATTTACCATAAGGCAAATGTAGGTAAGCAACATCAAAGGTCTTGCGAAAACTTTCAGTTATGTTTGAATGATCAATGCCAGCAAGCTTTGTCAGGGAGTTGTGCACGGCATTTATTGACTTCACATACACAAGTAATGATGCCCGATAAGTGAAACACACAGCTCCTACGCACTTAACGCAGTTGCGGAAGCAACGCAATCAAACGGTAAAACCGACACTATGATAGGCTTGGATTGTGCAAAACTTACAGCTATGTAAGGATCTTCAACAGATGGATAAAAGTAATCGATAGTTTGAACCAAGGAAAAGCCAGAGTCTCCAAGAGGTACAACACTGGAATCCATGCCAATATCTGCAAGAGACGTTGAAACACTATTCAGCAAATGTCTAGCGTGTAGTGTAGAGATGTGCAATTGAGCGAGCACGAAATACGGCAAAACATCATAACGGGGGATTGTTATCATGACTTGCACTGCAGCAGACTAAAATGCTGACAGTTAATTGAGACTAATTTGTAGTGCACGACTCGGTACAGAAAAATTCTCGGGTGTCAGTTTCTAGACATGGCGAATCATGGCAAGCACAAAAAGGTACAGCAATACCTGTGGAATGCTTTGTTGCGTTGTATTGTAGGACAATATTAAAATGCTGTGCAACTAACCAAAGCAAGAAGTTTATTGGCACAGTTCTGCAGTCTACTGCAATATGTACCTACCATAAGAGAAACGTTACGAGATTTCAGTCAGCATCACATTAGTTTCTCGCATTGCTGTAAACGAGGGCCTTTTGTTCTTACGTAACCATTAGTCCTGCAGCAGGCGCTATAATAGAAGTATCAAACTCTGGCATACAACCTTTAACTATGTAATGTCAATGCCAGTTTTCATTAAGGAGCGCTGCAAGCATACTATATGTGCAGAGCATCGCAGGCATCACAAAAGTGCTTGCATAACACAAGTAGAGTATAGAAGATCTTTCAGACTTTAACTGCTTTGGGTCGTCAATGCATCACATCTACAGATTTAAACTTGCATTTAATGTTCTGTCAGATACCTGTTTCTAAAGAGGCGAGTTGGGCATGTTGGTACATTATTGTGGCGCAATACAGCACAAAAACACACAACGAATGGAAACGATGACGAATAGCACTCGTCGTCATTTGTGTTCATTCAAGTGTTGTGTTTTCATGCTAGTGTGCTGATCACATGTATCTAACAACTCGAGTAATTTACTGAAATAAATTCAGTGTGACATGTTTACGTTCTTTGAACTAGCAATGTTCTTCAGAAGACAGGAAGTTTTGCGTTTCTTAATAACGGAATTTATGGTGTTCCTTGTGACTCCGTAGTGCTCAGTAGTGGTCCGAGTCGATGCTTTAAATGCATATGAGTGGAGAAAATGTAAACACGTCATACGATCGCGCCGTAAATGCACAAACAAACGCAGCGCACAGGCGTGCACACCCACCGATCTGGGTTCCCTCTGGGTGGTGCGACACGGTTTGCTGCGTTCCGCTGTCTCCCCTCAGCGAGTTGAGCAGCTTGTTTAGCACACCCTGGGGAACCTTGCAGCCTCATCCTTTCATGTCCGCCAGGCCCAGAAGCCGGAACTCGGGCTCCAGCCCGTGCTCGGCGTTCTCAAACGGCCGGTAAGTGACCACCGGGCCACTGGCGCCCCGTCGGACCACGTACCGCGGGCCGGCGGCACCACTGTCCCCGCTCATAGTCGAAAGAAGACCAGGTAAAAGACTACGACTTCTTTCAATCCTGCGCGCAAAGGAGAGTCAAATGCATCGCGTTCCATCAATACACATCCGCGATCGCGCACTGAATCGGGTCACAGCATCTCGCACAGCGCGTTGAATAGGTTGTACTCGCCTGCTGGAGTTTCTGAGAAGCAGTCGGCCGCAGCTCCAGTATCGACCTATGAAGTACGCCGCTCGCATGGGCTCTTACCGCTTTTTTGTTTCTCACTCGATCTGCAACTTCTGGAGTCCTGAAATCAGATAGTACTCGTATTCGACCCACCGTCACAAAACTAAACATCGCAGTCGCCTTGTTATCCTCTAGAGGCGATTTTTCAACGCTCGCTTGGTTTTTATTTTTTACACAATCTTTTTATTGCGTAATTCACAGCAACAAATAATTGTTACAACATATCTAGCAGCTTACTTTTGTCTAAAATATAATTGTTGGTTGTTATTTTTAACTTTATAAAAACGCTTTTTGCAAACATTATGTGTCTTAAAGATTGCAGCGCTAGTCTTGAAGTAGCGACGAACATTTACAATACTATGATTGTTTTTAGGAGTGGTGCGCCTTAGTATGAAACAAAGTACAGAATACGGCGGTAAAGATAAACAGATGCCTCCGTAATCCCCTTGAGAGATAAAACTTTGTCGGAAAGTAGACGACCGCCACAAGATTGCGTTCGCATGGCTGATAGCGAAGGTTACTGGAACACGTTAAAAGTTACGAGGAAGTTACCCGACATAGGTGGCTGCGGTATTTTCGAAGGGCGCCAACCAGGGGCGTAGCCAGACATTTTTCTTTTTCGGGGGGAGAGGGGCACCTCCTTGATTTCGGGAGGGGCACTTCATTGAAATTGTAATTTTTCATTCTCTATGCCATAACGAAAAATTGGTGAGAGAGTAGTAGGGGGGGGGGGAGGCAGGGTCCCGGTGTAGCACCCCCTGACTACGCCCTTGGCGCCGACGTATCTCATTATTTCTTGAACGTCATGACTACTTGCAATTCGAAAAGAGAATACACAAGCTTTATTATACTCAATGACCAGCTGTATTTTGTTCTTCGCGTATGCTAAAAAAAAAAAAAAACACTGCGTGAACGAACGTCCAATTTCTGACGCATTTATTTTATGCGCCTCAGCCGGTCTCTTTGCACACTTTCTACGGCTTCCAATTGCCCTACCGTTCGGGAAACTTAGAAAAATCTACGCTTCAAAAGTGAACTTATTCATCACACACGATCACTTCCACTGGCGTAGCCACATTCCTACCGAATTGTCACTTTCGAATGTGTCTTACACACGCACGAACGTGTATAAAGTGGGATTAAACCTACCGCCCTCCCCGAAAAACATTTGTCGATAAGCTGAAGTTCACGAATTCACGTGCACGTGAGGTGCATCGCAAGGGTACTTTATGTGCCGACACCACTTGATTTGTTGATGCACGTAACTATTGTTTCGCCACAGGGCGTGCACACAACATTGTTATACGCAGACAAGAACTTGTCCGCGACATATATGGTACACTAAAAATGGGAATATGGCGAGAAACGTGTCACTCAGAATGAGTGAGTGTCATATCGAATGCCTCTATTTATGGAATGATGTGTTTATTGATGGCGAGGTGGTGTTTTCACTTCGGCGACCCGGGCGAGCTAGTACAGTTCACAAGCTCAAGTATCCTTTCACGGAGGATCTCAGCTCTTCGACGTCCAGGGGAACGCTGACGCCCTGGACGTTGCCGTTGTCCGGCTGCTTGACCAGCTCCTGCACGTACGCCTCGGGCAACTGGTGCTCGACTGCCCCGGCAACGATGACCGCCTTGTAGAAGAGCGAAGGTAAGTCTCTCTTCCCGGCCTTTGTGCGTCCGTAGACGTACGTCCGGCAGACTGCGTCTTCTCCGGATGACAGCTTTACGGTGACGTCAACGCCTTCGTAGTCACTCTCTTGTCTGCGTTCAACGAGAAATAGACAAAAAAAAGGAAATGATATATAAATGTACAGAACAGTGTGGGTTCTCCCCACTATGGGAAGGGGGTGGAAGGGAGCAAGTCAAAGTCACGTCAGAGCAAGTTTCACCACGCACAGCCCCCCTCCTCGTCGATCAAGTTCGAAACAAAACAATTAAACACCGCCATGGATAGAAATACGAAAATGAGGTGATGACGCGTTTGTCAAAATAGAATGTGATTGCTTCACCGGCTTTCCGAGGGTAAAAGGTGGGAAGTGAACTGTTCCATAAATTCGTCATCAGCAAAAAGCATGTGTAGCCACACTCCTGCCATAACACTGCGTACTGAAGAAATGACGTGAAAGGCCCGACCAAGGGAATTTAGGAGGGGCCGCTAGTCATCTATCTACCACAGTGAGTGTGTAATTATAGGCGTATGCAGGGTTTCTCTGCCAGGGGAGGGGGGAGGGGAGGGAGGAAGGTTTGTCGTAGCGCCCCCTCCCTATTATGTCAATGCATGAGCACTGACTTTGCGCCCCCCCCCCCTCCCACCATCAGTCTTAGGTGATCTGTGGGGGTGCATATTTTCGCAAAAATACTTAAGACTCGTGTAGCATTTAGCTGCAGACGTGAAAAAACTCCTGGTGGTCGAAATTTCCGGAGCCCTCCACTATACGGTGCCCCGTATAAATCTATCGTTGTTTTGGAACACAAAACACAGACAATTACTATACACGTATAAGCACTCACACACACAAACACACGCATGCATGGACATAGATCAAGGGCTGTTAGACCCCCACCCCCCCCCCCCCCCAAAAAAAAAAAATCCTCTAATCTCGTGGACAGTCTCCGGTGTCCTGGTGACAGTCAAGTACGTTTCTTTCTTTGTTAAAGCTATGCATATTTGTACTTGCGTTAACAACTCCAACAAATCTGCTCAAAAGACAATACAGTCTTCTTCCTTCTTGTACCCGATTCTAGAACTGAGGGAGTTGAATCATGGAATGAGAAGAGGTTGGAACTATATATTCAAGAAAATTAGCGGGCAGTCAATTGTCTATATGTGATGCTCCAGCAATTTATTTATTTATTTATTTATTTATTTATTTATTTATTTATTTATTTATTGTGACTTACCGGTCTAGATTATGGATGTCTTCTTTCGGCACTGTCCATACGACACCGTGCGCGATTCTTCCGGGACCCTTTTGCAGCGCAGCACTGGCACCTCTCCAGCTTTCGAAATAATCGAAGAAGTCGATGTAGTAGCCCTGGAAACAGCATACTTGTAATTATTTGGGACATATATCTTACTTCACGACAGCAGAAAAAACCTATATAGTTGTACGTGAGAGTCACATGTATACAATGCGTGCGCGTATATATCCTATTTTTAACGGAATCATTGCGGGAGTATTCGGACCCGTGACCGTACAGATGCCTCCGCGTCGCCCTTGAGAGATAAAACTTTGTGGGAAAGTAGGCGATCGGCACAGGGTTACGCTGGCACAGCCGATGGCGAAGGTTTATCGGAGTGCGAAGCGCCCTGCCACGCCAACTCGCCATGACGTCACACAAGGGGCGTGAGCAGATTTGGGGTGAAGGGCAGAGGGGAAGCACTTTTTTGAAATGTTACTTTTTCGCTCTTTGTGTGACTGCGAAAAAACATTCGCGCAGAAGGGGACGGGGGTACCGCCACTGCGTCACACATATTACGAGGTCCAGACCATCATGCATACAGACACCGCATGCTCTCTTGAACGCTTTGGCGTCTACAATTCAGTTCAGACTGATAAACTGTTATTTGAGAACCGCGTCATATTCACGACCGTAACGCGCGACCTCAGACTTGCTATATACGTCAAGTCTCATGGCTCAGTGCAGCCCAATTCTGTAAGTGATCGCGTACAGGCCTTAGCAGACACCGGCAAATATAGTTGACGGCACGGTGAGTTCCTCGCGGCAGGGCACGTTGTCACTTGCTCTTTTTTTCTTTTTTTTCGTGTTTTCTACCTTATCAGGCGTCTTTTCGCGGCAGAGGTGAAGCTTAAGTTATTTCTCGAAATGTTGCCGTAATAGCGGATGTACACACGTCCGATGATCCTAAAGAGGCCCTCGCTCGCTTTGCTCTTTCCCTCGCTATGCTTCGTTCCTCTCTCCTCCTGTCCGAGTGCTATCTCATCTTGCGAGGGGGATCGGTCACGAGGTCTTGTGGATGAGGAGCAGGCGACAGTTTTCAAGTCACAGCGAACACTGAGGGTCTGAACTATAGGTAGAGACAAGAGGGGGCTGGGGGGCTTGAACCCCCTCCCGGCAGCATCATGAAAACCAAAGCGCCTTCCGCTGGCGCTTGCCCGAAATATTTTTAAAGAGCTTGACATTGGCTCTCATCCACCACCAACAAGACTGTTGGTCATCCTGTCTTGCAGCTATTCCACAGGGAACTCTTTATGACTGTTCTTTTTTCATTTAGGGGTAGTGACAGGTGGTTTGGCGTCATGATCGCATTGAGAACGAAGTGAAAAGATTACGAGAATAGCGACATTTGCACGGCTTTTATGCAAAATAAGTATGGGATGTACGCGTACGCATCAAGAAAGTGAACGTAACGTTTATTTTATGTAACAGACATTTGTTTATGGTCTTCTTCGTGCTTTTGATAAGTCCTTCTCTTCCTTCACACACACACACACACACACACACACGCGCGCGCGCACACACACACACACACACACACACACACACACACACACACACACACACACACACACACACACACACACACACACACACACACACACACAGAGAGAGAGAGAGAGAGAGAGAGAGAATGTGAAATAGCAAGTTGGGCGCCCTGCTCCCTCTGGAAATATGAAAACTCTCCGCCAATGGGCTGAACACTGCTGAAAGACCCGGAGAGTGTATGACATTATTGGGGCGCCCGCGGCTCAAAACGCGCTGCCACGTCCGGCATGGTTGTTGATCAGGAGGGCATTCTGGACTCGATGCATCCTTTTACTAGAAATGTTGGAAAATTATTGGAGGTAGTCTATGGGCCCTTTAAGGATGGGTGTTATTTATGTGTTTACATTATTTTTGTTACATTATAAATGTAGATGCTGAAAGGTTAGCGCTTTTTATATGCTATATGTCGTATTTCCGGGAGCCAACAAAAAAAAAAAAAAGGAGGCGCTTGCACTGACAACCACCGCCATTCGAGGGCTCTTAGCCTGAACGTACATGTTGGAAAATAATGACTTTTTGGCAGTTTTTTTCTTTTCTTTTCTTATTTTTTTAGAGAGAGGGGGGTAGAAGTAATACACTCCAATATAGTCAGCTGCTAGTTGGTTCGACATCTTGCCCAGGGGAGCGCAGATTTGGCTTTAATACACTCCTAATAGAAGTGAGAACCTTTCTCTGTCGTTATTTGATGCTTCAGTGTTGCGCGTTCGCACGTCATACATACAGCCTCTCACCTCAAGCTCGCCGATGTCGAAAAACTTGGCCGTCGGATTGCAAATGTGTATGCGGCGAGACCACATATTGCTGGCGTAGGCGAAGTACAGGATTTCGTCCGGATTCCGAGTCTTCTTGCTCGTCGAAGTCATATTACTAGTGCTCTGCGTGATTCTGTGACTGCGGACGCGTTATAGTCACCGCTGCAGCTGGGGAGTTGCGTGTGCTGAAGTAGAACGTGTGCCGATCCAGGCAACGCTGCTCCGGTCGAAACATGATACCCGGCCGGTTTTGCCAGCTGCAGTGCTTCCGCTTGCGCAAAAAAAAAAAAAAAAGCGCACAAAAGTGTACTTCCTGCATGCAGACAACGTACGCGGGCTTGTGTGAAAGGTAAGGAGACCTACCGCGTGAAATTCGTCCGTATACTAGCCCACGGATATATAGCGGATATTCAGAACGTTCGCGGAAATTATGTTACACGCATACTTGCTTGTTGCTGTACAGTTGGGTCGTGTCCACCTAATATTGCCGAGTTCCCAACTATCAGACCAGCTCATAATCATGCATTTTTATGGTTTGGACACTCACGAACATACAAAAGGAGGGCTCGCGCATCCCTTCCACCACCCTCTCCTTCCCGAAATAAATCTCACCCCATGTAAGTTATTCTAATTTTAACTTCAATATTCAGGATCTGGCCGATGTTCGTGTGTAAGCCTCGGAGTAAAAATTGTAGAGGGCGCTAAAATAAAGGAAAGGTGCCATAGCACCCGACGTCTCCTGTACTGACAGAGCCAAATGAATGCTGCTTAGCTTCGGGGATCGGGCGAGAATCGGCGGAAGACCGGAAGAATTGTTTCACTGCATATTTGCCACATTGCGTTATACCATTGGCTCGTTGTTTTTTTTGCCTAGCTACAGTGTTACAGCACGACAAAATCCCACGCATCATGGAGGAAGGATCACTGTGTGTGCGCGCTTGCGCGCATCGACAGATAATCCGCGTCGTTCTGTTCGGAGGTCAAAATTTCCCAAGCCACTCACTCGAGAGAGTGGCCTGCAAACTTGTCCTCCTTTTCTACACCACACGCATCACACATGTGTAATATGCGCTTTAATTAAAAACCAGGAGACCAGAAAAACAATGTGGCTTCATTATTTGCAAAAAGTCGCAAACGGTTGCAGCGCCAATATTTGCGCGGCGGACATATTTGTAAAACCTTTTTGAGGTGTTTAGGAGTGCCGCTACTAGACTAACGAGAGCCCTTTTTGGCAAGCCGCGTGCACGTGTGGTTCGTCACAGAACACCGTCACAGAACCTGCGCCGGCACACCGGTAAGACTTCATACTCAGTCTTGCCTTTAAAGACAATCCGGCATGGCTCCCAAGAGGAACAACATGGTGCCCAACGGCCACTTCCACAAGGACTGGCAGCGCTACGTGAAGACGTGGTTCAACCAGCCGATGCGCAAGAAGCGCCGCCACGCACACCGCGTGAAGCGTGCTCGAACCATCGCTCCGAGGCCCGTCAAAGGTTGCCTGCGACCCGTCGTTAGGTGTCCGGGCTTCAAGTACAACACCAAGCAGCGTCTGGGCAAGGGCTTCTCCCTGGAAGAACTGAAGGCCGCGGGCATCGCCAAGAAGGTCGCGCGGACCATCGGCATTTCCGTGGACTACCGGCGCCGCAACAAGAGCGTCGAGAGCCTGCAGCAGAACGTTCAGCGGCTCAAGGAGTACCGCTCCAAGCTGATACTGTTCCCGCGCAAGGCTTCCAAGCCGGCCAAGGGCGACGCCACGGCCGAGGAACAGAAGCTGGCCACTCAGTTGCGCGGAGTCGTCATGCCCATCAAGAAGAGCGTCCACCGCGAAAAGCCCCGTGTGCCCACGGAAGAAGAGAAGAAGTACTGCGCCTACGTGCATCTGCGCCAGGCCAAGGCCAAGGCGCGTCTCTGGGGCAAGCGGGCGAAGAAGGCCCGCGAAGCGGCCGAGAGCATGGAGGCACAGGCGCCGAAGAAGGGTTAGCCTGTCCTCTTGTGTGAATAAACTATTCTTTATGAGAAAGGGAACAGAGCGTTTGGTGGCTTTATTCGCTGTGTACCTATACGGCTGTTCAAAATACGGGGAATCTTTAAGAGCTTGTTTGCTTTGTTAGGCTCTACGACTACAATAATGACGACCAACAAACAATTCCTGCTGGTGGCAAGTTGTCTTTTAATCTTTGTTTTTCGTATTTATATCAAAATCGCTACAAATAACGTCCGCTATAATTTCCCTGGCTTGATTGTCTGATGGTTGTCATTTATGTCATGGCTGCACAGTTGTACAAACGCTCTGCATGTATTGTGCTGCTTTGTTTTACATTACAGTGGTCAAATTATTTCAGCTCATTGAGGCATACATTCGGACTGGTTGGGATATCACACTTGCGATTTTAAAGCAACACACAAAGTCTGAACAAGCTGAGCAACTTGATATGTGGGCTTTAACGTCCCCAAACTATCATATGATTATGAGAGACGCCGTAGCGGAGGGCTCTGGAAAGTTCAACCACCTGGGCTTCTAACATGCTCTGATATCTGAGCAGGCAAGCGTACAGCATTTTCGCCTACACCGAAAATGCTGTCGCCACAGCCAAGATTCAATCCTGCGACCTGCGGGTCAGCAGTCCAGTACCTTAGCCACTAGACCAATGCGGCGGGGCATGCTGAGGAACTTGAAACAAGCGCAAGTGATGAGGTACCATTTGTGCTTGCTTCATTCACATGTCCATGTCTCAACTTATTACACTCTTTTCGGCGTGTTTGAGACCACTACTTCACCTCCATTAGAATGGCCGACTGTGTGTATATGTTAAAAGAGTGCTGCATGAGCTGGCTCTTTATGGTGAAATAATTCAATTGAATGCCATACTAGTAGTGTTTACGTACTAGACTGCTGACCCATAAGTCACGTGTTCGATCATAGCTCCACTGGTTGCATTAGGAGCCTGGTGTACTGTGTGATGTTGCAAAATGTTTGAAATTTCGGGAGCTGTTCACTACGGCACGCCTCATTATATTGTGGCTTTGGCACATCAAGCCCCACAAATGATTATTACAATAATTCAGCACGCTTTTTCAAAGGTACTATCGGCGTCAAATGAAACCCGAACAGCGGAGCGCGTGTTTCAAGCATTAGAAACAGTATAGTGTTGGCCGTCCTGTCATCACCATTGACAGGCGGGCACATCCGGTTCGGCAGCACTGCGCGATCTCCCTACAGTGTGTTATCTCCATTTCTGCTCTAGTTTTTGTATGGTGGTAATGGTGGCCATCGTCGGCGTGCCAAGCGCCTTCGATTGTATCACTCGCAATTCCTTGCTCTTACTTCAGCATCGCAGTGCAATCGGTGACTCGGCACGATAAAACAAAAAGAGAAATATAATCGGTTTGCGGTTGATTTTTAAACAATCGTCGCATCTCGTTCGCCAGCGCTGCTTCACCTGCACCCTTCTTTCAGAGACCGACTCGAAAACGCGTCACTTTAACTGGAAATGCCAAGCGTTTCTTCTGAAGAGAGAGCGCAAATTGTTTTGCTTTACCGGCACGAAGTGAAACAGCGTGGAATTGCCAGCTTTATGAACCGACTTTTGTCTACTATAAATAGAATTAGCCAGGAATTCCATGTAGTGAACTCCGTGATGACCAACCGTGCTGCAATACTTGTCTTCGGCTGCAGTAGTTTAACCTTTGCCATTTTTTTATTTTGTTCCTTTCAAATACCATACCTGGAACACTAGCAGAAATATTGCAGTATAGAGGGATCGCGCAGTGCTGCCACACTGGATGTGTGGGCCTGTCTGTGCCAATGACTGGTCGACGGCACGCACTATGCCATTGATAAGGCTTGTGCCACGCGCTCCGCTGTTCGCGTTTCATTTGATGCCGATAGTACCTATAATGATAGTTGAAAAAAAGGCAGTTTGAAAAAGCCCGTGACTGCACATGTATCAGCGAGTTCGGTCTTACGTGAAACACTTTTCAATAGAGAGTTTTCGAATAGGGGCCCCAAAGAAATAGCGTAGAGGCCATTGCATATGTGTGAGGCCCAAAAAGCATTTGGGTTTTGCATTGGGGATGCTATTTCTTGAATTTCACAAGTGCCCCAAAGCCTGCCCAAAAGGTTTGCATCAAGCATGACCGCACCCACTGAAGCGACTGCTCCAGGCAAAGACTAGAGCGACCAAGAGTTAGTAGAGAGAGCGTACAATGCACGCAGACCCTATTAGAAAATTCTTATCTCCTTCTTAACTCAAAGTGAACACGCGCAAAGAGCTTTGGAGTCCCTAACTTTTGGGGCCCCTATTAGAAAACTCCATAATGAGGTAGTTTAGATGTGGGAATGTTGGTTGTATTCATGATAAAACAAGGAAAGTGTCTGGTAGCAGGTCAAAACAATGCATAAATTGAACACCACGAGTGCTGGTGGACTAGTGTCTTGATGTGTCGTACAATAATTTACACGTGTTTGGTTTGTTGTAATGAAGGTCACCACTGTCTATATGCATGCTGCATAGACGGACTAACAGAGACTAGCAATGTTTTTCAAACATCCGTTGTTCCAGAGTCGTACAGCCAAAACTTGGTGATTGACGACTGTTGTGAAATGTGAACCATTGTTACCAGACCGTTAATATTTGTCATGCTGTTAGTGCAGCCAGACATATGCACAACAAACTATTTATTGGACAGTACTTTCATTAACTATCGCTTCAATAAATTGCGCACTTTCATAAACTTAAGTATCCGTTCACATATGATCGGAGCTTGTCAATGTCCACTCCGATGTTGCTATCTTGCGTCTTGCCGTTGTCGGGGATCTTCACCAGTTCTTGTATGTAGCTGTTGGGTAACTTGTGTTCAATCGCTCCAGCTACAATAACGGCTTTGTACAAGAGCGAGGGCATATTTTCCTTCCCAGGCCTCGAGGTGAGGTAGAAGTACGTCCTGCAGTCCACTTTGTCCCCAGATGGCAGCTTCACTGTTACGTTAGCAGCTTCATACTCTTTCTCCTGCCTGCATTTAAAGACAAAGAAGATACTCTGACATCTAGAGACTATAAGCATTGTTACTTTCCAAGAAACTTTACATGTCCTCTTTAGACCCAAACAACTGCTTGCAGATATAAGTGCCCCTTTCAGTTAGTTATCATTATTAATTATAAGCTACAGTATGTTCGGGATGAGGGAAACCCTATATTTTTCGGGTACTTAGCTCAGATGAGTCAACATTTATTGGAAAACTAGACATCTTGTCGCACTCTTCATTCTAAATATCTTCCTTTGTTTGTAGGATGGTTATTCCCGCCAGCTCACCTGTACGACAAAGTATGGCAACATGAAGTGTTGCAAAAAGATGTGGCACTGTGTGATAGGTTTCCGTTTCCATAGTGCATTCGGCATTGTTATGTCAACTCATTGTGCATCGTTCGAAAATGAGTTTACTCTGTCGTACGAATATCCTATGCACAGAGACAGTTCAGCGATTGCTGATAGGATATTTTATTTTCATTTTAGTAATTTTTCCCATGATGCACCTACTAACATCAACACTAGCTTGACATCACTTGCTTGACATCACTACAGCATTAATTCTGGTGACTTCACAAGCAGTCTGGTCTTTGTAACGACGTTAAACATCAAAACTCCTGAAATGACCGCTTGTGCATCACCAAACATTCAAAATGGCCACTTGTGCATTGCCGACGAAGCCATGGCACGTAGCGGCTGTGGAAACGTCACGATGACTTGCGCTAGCGTGCGAAGAGAGGCCCGACTATACCGTGTTATGGTGTCAGGGTACAGTAGGAATTGCGACTAGCTTTTAAAACCATACTGTAATTACTTTTTCACGGAGCATTTATAATTAGCTCATTTTCTAAGCTATTGAAGACTTAGCTTTTTATTTGACTTAAGAAAACAACTGAAAAGTTTCAGGCCAGTACCCCTTTTATGGCTGAGTTTCATTATCTGTAATGATACGATAGTCTTGACCAAATTACATGCATTGAATCGGGTGGAGAGTTTCGTATTCTCAGAAGGGGTGGGACACCCGACTTGCTCTTCCACATATCTCTCTCTTTGTTGTGCGTGCATGTGTGCCAGGTTGTGATGAATGGGAGACAGGTTCTTTTTTTTTTGCGAGTTTAGGGACCTCTATTGGGATATGGAACTATGTGGACGTTTGGATATTCTTTCTAACGACCCGACCCTCCTTGGTTATTTGTAAACTCTCGCACTTTGGGGGAAGGAGAATTGTGTGACACATGAAGCTATCGCAGCAGAAATCAAGGAGGAAGAAGTGGATTGGAATAAAAGAGCGGCGTCTGAACTGCTCCACGTTTGAATTTTAAAAGCATGAAAGAAAAAGGAACGAGCATAAACAATCTTCTGTGAAATAGCTGTAAGACAGTACGGCCAACACTCTACTGGTGGTGGATAAAAGTTTATAAGGCAAGTTCTAAAAAAATATTCTTGGGCCTCCAATTAGAAAGGCTTTGCCCCCCCCCCCCAGGCAGCCTGGAGGGAGCTTGAGCATCCCCCCGCCCCTCCGCCCACTCCCTATGCTGGGAATGGCGACCGAATTATCCTCGCAAAAACCAAATGGCCATGAGAATGGATGAGCTAATATGATGTAGGTATGCCCATTCGTATTCAAAGTGACCATTAAACCATCTGGTGTGTCATACAAGTAATCCTCTCTGACAATCTGTGTTTCTTGTGAAACAAAGATTTGCCTCAAGGCAACAATTCACGGTGTAACACATTAGGACATTGCCACGTCCTAAACCTTATGAACACTCTAGTAGAAATTATGCTCTCAAAACTCACCGGTCGAGATTGTGTATGTCTCGCTTCGGAATTGTCCATACGACTCCGTGTGTGGTGCGTTCCGTGCTCTTCTTCAGTATGGCAGCCGCGCCTTGCCAGCTTTTAAAGTCATCCACGAAGTCCACATAGTAGCCCTGCACATAGAAACATCGACAGTCTGTTTTTGTCACATCACTGTATGTTGTCACAGTGTTTCAACTGTAATGAGACTTCGAGAGTAGATTTGGGCTGCACTTAGGTCTGCGAGTGTCAGCAGGGTTTTGTCGGGCGGGGGGGGGGGGGGGGCAAATGCACGTTGCATTGCGGCGGGGGGGAGGTGGGGAGGTGGACAGAGCATCTGTAGCCTATGTAGGGGCCAGGTGCTGGTGCGGCTTTAGGGGGGGCAAGTTCCCCTTGTGCGCCAGGCTGCTGATGCCCATGGCTAGATCCTGCTAGCCTGCAACTAAATTAGCAGTGTTTGAATTGTTGGTGGCTTGCAAATAGGACATTATTATTGGAGAACACAGAATTTGAGAGTAAACAAGTGCTCTTGACTTCACTGTGTACCATTTAAAGCTGCTAACTACAGAGCCAAGAGTGACCACCAAATGCTGTCTTGAAAGCCGCCAACAAATCAGTCAACCGAAGTGGCTAGTGGCCAAGTGGAAAATTCCCTGTTAGCTTTGAGTGATACGCGTACATATTTTGAGCACACATTCAAAGAGGCACAGAATGCTTTGAGTTCAGTTTTATATCCTTAAAGACCTCCATGCTGGTTGTGAACACAGGAGGTGAGATTACAAGATAATAAAAGTAAATAGCAAAGATTCATTTAAAATTGACGATGATCAGTGATGCCTTTGTGGAAAGTTGACGACGAGGCAATAGTGCGGATCCTACAGTGTAGGTCGTTCGTGCAGGCATGGCCGCGGACACCTTGAATAAACGTACCACGCTTAAGCAAATGCCAGTACAGCTTCACTTATGTTATTGTTTAAAGCGACATTTATTAAATTAGACATGAAACTACCATATTGCATCATTACCAGGTCTTGTTTGCAACGTTTCAAAAAAAACTAATCTGAGCGCAAACACGCAACACATTCACGTACACACCCAGGGAGCGCTGTGCGTGTTTGATGTCTGGGTGTGTGTGCGTGAATTTGTCGTGTGTTTGAGCTATTGTTCCTTCATTAGCAGTATGGGTGAGCCAGTCACAATAAACCACTAGCTGTGTACGTTAGTTATTCACATTTCCAGACTGCCAGACATTTGCTTTGCTAAGCCTCAGATTCGTTGCATTACACAACGAGATGTTTCTAAACGGCAGATCTCTCCTAATGACTATAGCATATGGTGTCTACAACAGTTTGCTGTTGAGTCGACGATAGCAATAAAAACATTATGACATAACTCACCCCACTGGTAGCGTATGTGTCAGGGACTGCGGTCGATTAATTTTAGTTTGGTGAACGTCTCTTGATGTTAAATTCTGTACTTCTGGTCTTTCTACTAAAACACCTTGCGTATGAGTGTAATAACGTAAAAATGCTCTATTCCTAATCAAGTCTGGAATATAGCATCTACACTTTTTCAGTCATTTTACGACTAAAATTAGCCTTAACGCTTTCACAAACGAAGCTATAGATAATAAAAGGTTAAGTAATGTCGTACGACCCATCGATCTATATCAAGTCAGCGATCGGCAATACTTGTTGTGACCATGATAGACTTCTCACGAGTGGGCGATTGCTTATTGATGATGATGATGATGAACCTTCAGCTTTGCTGGCACTCGCCCACAAAGGGGGATCGGCCAAGAACCAGGCGGCAGGATCATCACGTGTGCTAATTCAGGCATTCAGGTAGTCTCGTAGCCGTAAATATTAACAATAGGCTAACAGGGTAATCTCTTTGTTGCCCTTATGTACTCGCACACAGCAGATTATTGGTCGCGCTCGCATAAAGCTCGTGCGTATGTCACGTACTACGTCACGCACGACGCACAAGTGTGGAAGCGTTGGTGGCTAGCACGACGCACGCATTTGAGCCCCGTCTCGGAGCGCTCACCTCGAGCTCAGCGATGTCGAAAAACTTCGCCGTCGGGTTGCGGATGCGTACGCGATGCGACCACATATTGCTGCCGTAGGCGAAATACAAAACATCGTCGGGGCTATGGCCCTTCCCTGCCGACGATGAAGTAGCCATGCTAGCTCGGCTAGCGACGGGTGCCCGCAGCGATGCAGCTGACGTCGCGAGAAGACCGTCGCACTTCGGTACACTGCCCAGGTGACCGGGAGAACGAAAGAAAAAACCGTCGAAGCTGACACCGCAGCGACAGCGGATGACACATGACACGTAACGGGAGCCGGTTTTTTACCACCGCATTCCGAGTTCCTTGTTCGCGCAGTCTCCAGCCGTTCGATAGATTATACAAAAGCGTAAAACTTCGTTCGAATTAGATAAAGTCCGTTAGTGATGGGCTCCGAGATTAGATAAGACGCCAGCGACCTAGGTCGCCGTTTTCTTGTTTTTTGCTCTTGATGCACCTAGCATTCGCTGACGACATATATCGTAGCCCAGCAACTGCGTACACACCGCAAACCTTGGAGCTCCCGCAGAGCTCGCAGCGGACAAGCCCCGCATGCCCCACGTTTACTAAACCGCCTTTCGTCGCGCTCTGCATGCGATGCAACGTGCGTAACAGCGGGCTGAAATCATAAGCAGTAGGACCGGTTTTGGCAAACAATTCGGATCACCTTTGTTATTTTATCCGCCTTTGTTCTACATCGTTGCAACTTGACTGATAAACAAAGAACTGCCCCAGGAAAGAAGCTCGACGACGCCAAAGAAAATAATTGCTGAACGGAACGAAGGAAACGTAAGAAGAAAGTGAAAACTGCCCATTTTCCCCTCTCGTTTTCGAGGTCAGAACGAGGGCGCACGACGGACTGCTTTGTTGGTGTGGCCTTCCGATGCTTCCGTCGTCTGCTGCGCGCAGCGCGACGGAGCGTAGGCTAGAAAATAAGTCTTAGCTATTGCAGCTACAACTCTTTCAACACAAACTATATTAAAAAACATGTTCAAAAACAATTTTACCGATAGTGGCGCCATCTGTTAGTTGTAAAAAAAATTTATTTTGCGCAGACAAACATTACATAATATGTAAAAATAGTTTTGTTATATTGCAATAAGTTACGCTGTAAATTTTTGATTGTAACAATTTGGTTGTTGTTTTTGACGGCAATTTAGGTTTGGTTTCGCGGCTAACTTGATCATGCAAACATAAGAGAAAAAAGGAGGAGAGAGCGCTGAGAGAGCGAAAGGACGACGAGAGCCGGCGTACCCGTCATGCACAGCGCGGCGGCTGCTTTTCTCCGCTTTTCTCAAGTCAGCTGTGGTCGTCTGCAAGGCCTAATCGCGGCAGCGCCATAAACCTCTACCTACTCCGGATAACAGCGCCTCGAATGTGTGAGTTCCTGCTTGTCTAATCTTTCTCTTCTCTTCGCTCTCGTCTATCTACGGGACGACCGTGTTTACCCTCCGCGTACCACGTTTCCAACGAGCTTTCGTTTTTCGCAGTGCGCGGTTTTTGTTCGCCCGTGCTCTTCGCGCGAGCTAGTTCTGTTGCTTCCAGTTTAGCTTTCCGGCGTTGGTGCGCTGAGAGTCCCTTTTCGAGGGATGCAGATGTGCTTCCGTGTTTTATTATTGTCTAGTACTGGAGTGACGCATGTCGAGAGAAATCCCGACGAGATTGCTGTTGCTCGCTTGCTTGCTCCTACTGCGCGTTTTACATTTTCGCGAACTGTGCGCGCAGCGTCGGAAAGGTCGCGGAGGGAATCGCTCGAAGCTTTCACCTATTGCCCGACGCCGCAACCCGGCACACCTGCGAAAAAAGCCTCCAGCTTTCTTCTTTTCGCCATCGAAACCGGACGGATAGTCTGCGCATATCACACGTAACGCTCCTGCAAATCGTCATCGTGCGTGCCCCGCGGTCTCTTAGCAGCTAGGAAAAAGCGTGTTTGAGCTTGTCGAGTAGCCGTCTCTGAAACGTCTAAAACCGCGCTTTCGCAGACTGTAGCCCCTGCGATAATTTCATTTAATCGAGTACCCGTCGTTCAGCTGTCTTCGATGGAATAATGTTGGAAGTTTTGATCAATCGATCACAGCGTAAGAAGCCATGAATGCGTCGTAGATTTTTTTTTTAGCCCAGTTCGTGTATTTCATCGGCACAGATCGGCTTGTGTGCTGCCTGCAATATTTACGCAGATCGTGTTTTTCTAAAGTGCGCGCTTCCAGGATGGTTGACAGTGCTGACGACCTGTAAATGAAATCGTCGCTGACATTTAAGTACTCATGGTTAATTTTGAAATAGCCAAGACCTTTCGTTTGACGTGGAACTTTTGGGAAGATCCGGCTGAGCTTGTCGGGTGTTCTTGAATTAAGCGTGGTCTCCTGAATTTAGGCAAAGTGCGCGTCATGCGCATAGTTACCGTTACTTTCATCATATAACGTGTTCGTCGCCCTAATCCCATTAGTCTTATATCCATAAATATCGCATCCGTCTAAAAACACAGTACAACAGTGCAGTGCTTTCACCGGGCGCATTTTCTTTTTTTTTTTCGAGTCTTTATTTTTGTTTGAAATTGTTGGACAGCGTATATATATATATTTTTTCTATATTGATTTCATATTACGTTAACTATACATAGCGTAGCCAAAAATTTGTTTCGGCAGGGGGGTGGAGGTTAAACCATGATTTATGTATTTTCGTGCGGGCGTTTGTACATGTGTGCGTTTGTATATACCCTCGTAAAATTGCAAACGAAAAAAAAAATTCATGGTGATTTGACCCCCCTCGCCCCTTCCCATGGCTACGCCAGTGTTAACTGCCGTATGATATTGTCGAAGAACAGTGTTACAAATGTGCTTTATTGTTGTGCGTAGGCAGTCGTATGCACGAATGAATGAATGAATGAATGAATGAATGAATGAATGAATGAATGGTATGGCTTCGCCGTGGAAATCCCCATAATTGAGAACAAAGTAAGATTTCATTGAGGTTTCGCAGTCGACGATGTAGTAAGCTTAAAATGTTAATGTAATCTATGCGTTTTATTCGTAATTACAAGCGATCCCGTGTACATCGGTAACCATTAGAGGTGCAATTCGATCAGCAATCTTTATAAGTAAACTAATATTCGCTAGAAAAAATGATGATATTGACGGCATCTTACGGCGGAGTCAAAAGCAACGAATCCAGTGTTCAGTATGCATGATTAACTCAAACCGGAATATTTGGACTAAGGCCAAATTTAGATATGCATTCCATGATCTGCTGACCGAATTCGGTGCATTGACGTTCAACAACTTTAAAGAGTTTATATTCGAAATGATTGCCCCACCCGCGGTGGTCTAGTGGCTAAAGTACTCGGCTGCTGACCCGCAGGTCGCGGGATCGAATCCCGGCTGCGGCGGCTACATTTCCAATGGAGGCCGAAATGTTGTAGGCCCGTGTACTCAGATTTGGGTGCACGTTAAAGAACACCAGGTGGTCGAAATTTCCGGAGCCCTCCACTACGGCGTCTCTCATAATCATATGGTGGTTTTGGGACGTTAAACCCCACATATCAATCAAATATTCGAAATGATTACACGGAATATTGCAAAAGCCAGACGTTACGACGTACGAGGCAACCCCTGCTACGGGCACTGCATTTTATCTAACATTCGTTTATTCTAAAGGCCCAGTTTGAGTGTTACGTACGGGGTGGGCCGTATAACAACGCATGTCAACGTGTGGGTGAACGCACCCGTCAGTCTAAGCACACTACATGAGGTCTTAAATATGCCACGTACTACCTACACCTTTCTAATCTTACGTTACCGTATACAAGAGTAATTGCTAAAGTATTCTCTCCCCCCACCTCCCAGAAAAAAAAAATCTTACACCAACCACCTGACATCTTCTAACGTCGTAACAAAAATTACGAAAGATAATTTAGCAAGGTATGATAAATTTGTCTCTGTAAACTTTAGAAATGTAAAACGAAATATCAGTGGTTCACTTTTCTATACTTCTACTAACGTTCAATAATACAATGTATCCTAACACACACACACACACACACACACACACACACACACACACACACACACACACACACACACACACACACACACACACACACACACACACACACACACACACACACACACACACACACACATATATATATATATATATATATATATATATAGTCTAGTAGATCCTCCGTGAGCGGTCACAACGTTGTGACCGCTCACGGAGGATCTACTAGACTATATGCAACGCTACGGCCACTCAACCACCATGCCTGCCATATATATATATATATATATATATATATATATATATATATATATATATATATATATATATATATATATATATATATATACAATTTACATGGTGTCTGAAGCTGTGAAAAGTGAAATACTTCATTGTATCGAGAATTTCCTTTATATTGAAGTTCGCAATATCGAGGTTATTCAGGCAATATTATTTGGAGTATTATCCTATCCAGGCATGGAATCCTCTTCATCGAATCGTCACGAAATCGTCACGTCCGCTTTGAAACGACCGATATTTCATGTAGTTGCTGGTTTTAGGGCGGATGTGCGCCGTGCGTTCTATATCGACGAGTCGCACTCAGCGTAGGTTTTCTGCAGCCATAATGCGAATGAACGCGACTAACTTTATGTCACACGGGCGGCTGAAGCGGTCACCACTTGCGCGAAAAGACATCTGGTTGACTTGCGCGAGTCAACCAGCTGCAGTGGCGTAGCCAGGGGGTGATACACCGCGCTCCCCTTCCCCGATTCTTCTTCTTTTTTGCCTTACGGAGCACAAAATAACACTCGACCACATTTTTCTGCCCCTCCCTCAGTTCATATTAAGGTGACCCTCCTCCCCTCCTGAAAAAAAATTTCTGCTGCGTCAACCAGGGGCGGATTCAGTGACTAATTTTCAAAATAAGGTGTCGACAGATTTTAAGTGGTGGGCGGGGTGGGGGAGCGGGCTCTGACTTTTGTTTTTAGCAATTACTATTATCTCGATAACTGCATCGTGGCATAAATACTGTTATTTGTGATCACAGAAGTCCAGCTCATTTCAGGGTACGTACAGGTCCTTGAAATCCTTGAAAACCCTTGAATTATAAAAAAAAACTGGTTTTCAAGGCCCTTGAAAGTCCTGGAATTTTTTATCGCGCTTGGAAATCCTTGAATCTCCCTAGCGGTGCACTCCGAGATCTGCATTGCAACCTCCTTAATGTGGTAGATTGCTGTCGATCCGACAAACTCCCCAGTTCATAAACAGTAATTTACCATGAGCGCACATGGTTGTGTTGAAAAAAAAAAACAAAACAGTTTGCGTCTCGGGGTGGCGTAGCAATGAATGCTATCTTAATCATTCTTATAAACTCAACCACTCTAGTAAGCATTCAGTGCGTGTTGTGTTTTTGAGAACATATCAAATACTACTAGATGTTTATTTTATAACTGTGATGTCCATTTAAATAATGATGTCCATTTACATAAGTGCAATAAAACCGGCCGTATTTGAAGATTTTAGATGAAAAAACAATTCAAGTTTGCATGCCGCTTTGAGACCTTGAAAAACCTGCAACAGGTCCTTGAATTTTTGCGTTGGAAACCTGTACGATCAAACCCTGTCGTTTGTTCTAACTTGCCTCCAGTTTGAACTAAATTGTAAGGAAAAAAAATTAAAACAAATTCACGCGCCACCACACTTCAGATGTAGGCACATTTTGCTGCGCTAAGCTTCTGTTAGGCATTGGGCTCAGCATTTGGTACGTGGCGAACACGGGTTGGAGAAACTAAATGTAGGGGTGCGGGATGAAGGTTTTGGGAAAGGGGAGAGGGGTAGAATAGCGCGCTAGCATCTGATTTGATTGATTGATATGTGGAGCTTAACGTACCAAAACCACTATATGATTATGGGAGACGCCGTAGTGGAGGGCTCCGGAAATTTCGACCACCTGCAGGGGTTCTTTAACGTGCACCCAAATCTGAGCACACGGGCCTACAACATTTCCGCCTCCATCGGAAACGCAGCCGCCGCAGCCGGGATATGAACCCGCGACCTGCGGGTCAGCAGCCGAATACCTTAGTCACTAGACCACCGCGGCGGGGCGCTAGCAACTTGTATGCTGTGTATATATAGTTCGATCGAATATATGTCCAGTCGCCAATTTTCGAGTGAGCTCGACGATTTACCCAAATCTGCTGGTCCTTCATGGTGCGCTGCAGTGAAGCAGCGGTTATAGTTCCCGACTGCTGAGCTGAAGGTCGCGGGTTCGATTCCGGGAGGCCGCCGTGGTCGCATTTAAGTGAAGGCGATAGTCGGCGCACGTTTAAAGAAAATAAACCGTATACAGTCGGCATTCCCGGAGGCCCTCCGCTAACGG